ACATGGCCCCACCAGGACATGGCCTCATCAGTACATGGCCTCACCAGGACATGACCTCACATGTACATGGCCTCACCAGGACATGGCCTCACTAGTACATGGTCTCACCAGGACATGGCCCCACCAGGACATGGCCTCATCAGTACATGGCCTCACCAGGACATGACCTCACCAGTACATGGCCTCACCAAGACATGGCCTCACATGTACATGGCCTCACCGGGACATGGCCTCACCAGTACATGGCCTCACCAGGACACGGCCTCGCCAGTACATGGCCTCACCAGTACATGGCCTCAAGTGTCCAACATTAGTGCCTGTGGAGGCAGGCTCGGTCGACCAAGCATCACAAAAGAGACATACAAGCTGCACTTAACGCAGCCTCAATAGCAGCCAATTCTTGCCGCCTCTCAAGCTGAACTGTAGCACCGACTTTGATGGTTCACGCTTGTATTAAAACGCACCGTCCAGTTCTGAACTGCTGTGTAGTATTCAGGCCAATACAGCTGACAACTTAGCTGTGTAGTGTTCAGGCCAATACAACTGACAACTTAGCTGTGTAGTGTTCAGGCCAATACAACTGACAACTTAGCTGTGTAGTGTTCAGGCCTATACAACTGACAACTAAAGAAACCTTAGTCGCATTTGGCTTAACATTCTTATTCGGCTTACAATTCTTCATATCTTATTCCCTTTATATTCTTTGTATTGGGTTACAACTTTTCTTATAGGAGTAAACTTGCTCCTATTTGGCTTACAATACTTCTTATCCGGCTTGCAATTCATCTCAATTAGATAAGCGTCTTTCACGAGGTATTCTATGTGAAAACAGTGGCAAACGCATCACAAGATATTCAAACTATTTTCACTCATCTGTTTGAGTAATGTTGATGTTATTGATAAATGCAAAAAGTAACTAGGTTCAAAATTTTGACACATTTTTGGCCTCGTGTTTGTTAAGCTCTAACATTTTAGGCAGATTTGCTGTCAATGTGCGATCTCGATAAATTTCTAGGCAATTTCCAACACAAGAATTCCCAACTAACGGCCGGCCGGAAGAAGAAATGTCGAATTTGTAAAACTGAATTTTGTTATGAATAAATGAATTATTTTTAAGCAGTCCAGTTGGATTGATTGAAGATTAAACTCCAAGAAGTGTAAATTCATTCAAGAATTTTTTAGAAAATATTTAACATCGAAACAACATCGAAAGATTTAACATCAAAAATAAATTCATGACCGGTTAAATTATTTTCAATGATTAAATGTGGTTAAATAAGAATAAAGTGTTCCATTATATGGTGGCTTATACTATGAAACCATCCTCTTGAACTATCAAACCATTGAAAGTGACCATTTCTCTACCAATAAAATGGTAAAAGATGTGGAATATAGTGAACGAAAGTCACTAACATGGGAAAACGTCTCAAATTATGTATGGATCAATCTATCATAAAATTTATGTATTTTTTGAGTCAGATTGAACATCCATTGACAATAGAAATAAAATACATAAAAAAAACTTTTTGAAAAACCACGTTTTTCTTGTGGACTAAAAGTAGAAAATAAATTATGGCTCGCCCCAAAAAACGTGTGTCGGGCAGATTAATAATTAAAGCGAAAAGCACACAACACACGAATTTCGGGAATTTAATGACTAACGTACAGCCCGACCCACGTTTTTTGGGGCGAGCCATAATTTATTTTCTACTTTTTAGTCCACAAGAAAAACGTGGTTTTTTCAAAAGTTTTTTTTTAAGTATTTTATTTTCTACTTTTTAGTCCACAAGAAAAACTTTTTTTTTAAGTTTTTTATACGTATTTTATTTTCTCCTTTTTAGTCCGTTGCTACACATGAAAAACATTGTTGCGAGCCAATTTACTTGACGACGTACGTATCGATGATACGCAGCGTCAGCGCCTGCTCGTCTATAACGTCAGCGCCCGCACGTCATACTATATATATCATATATACTATATATATACTTTACTCAATTAAGCTAATTTAGGTCTCTAATTGCTAGTTTTTATGAGTGTATCTGAAATTGTTAGGCGAAAATAGCCTGCATGCCGAATTTCAGATCTCTAGAGCAATCAGAAGTGGGCTAATTTTCGTTGTCAATGTTAACAACAAACAAGCAAACGCGAAGCTAAGTCAAGAAAAACGTGTTAATAAAATATTAAAACAAGCACGCTTCGAATCTCGTGATTACATTTTTTCTTTAGTCTGTTCTCGTGTTATTGTTATTCTCGTATTCAGCTGTGAAATTCAAGTCGCTAGTAACAATTTTCCTTGGAATGAAACAAAGTCGCAAGGTAACAATTTTTCTAGTAATGAAATTCTGTTCCCATAATTTTAGCACTTATATATATATATATATATAAGGTTGTCATCTCCTCACATGTTTTGCAACGGAATATGCGTAAAACCTTTTCATTTCACACGGTAACGGCGTACTTCATCGCTTGATTTTTCAGCAATGAATCACGTTATTGCGTCAGTTAAAGATGTCAGGAAATTGTTTCACCGCCTGCACAGGTCATTAAACAAATGAGAATCGTTAAAGAAGAGCCGAGTTGCTCTTTGTGACGACGTTTTAGCTTCATCGTGCACCTAGAATTGGGGTGTTACTGAAGTGACGAGTTACTTTTCTATTGTGACAATGCGTTTGACGATATAACGCAATGAGTAGTTCGAAGACCATTAAAATTGTAAGAGCGAAAAATTATTATTATTTTTATTTTACTTTTCGAAATTTTACGATTAGGTTTTTTTTTGTATGAATCATGAAGCAATGCACTCTTTTTTACATTGAGGTGGGAGGTGTTTTTAATGAAGAAGCATTTTACGAAGTGATCAATTTCCCACTATTCACTATAGACGACTGAACAGAGTTCAGTATTTTAATAAAATAAATTGACAATTGTTCTATAGTTTACATGAACGAAGATGATTGTTCCACGCAAGTTCCCGTCTGAGCGCTCGTGAACAAATTGGCTAGTATTTATAATGAAATCATGTGTCTCCCGTGAAGAGCACGGTCACAATACGAGGAATATTTCATGAGTCATGATGGAATCATAAAAATGTGCAAACAGAACTTTTATTGATGTCAAGTCGCGCGTTTTACAGGAAAATTGAAGTACCCTCGAGCGCTGAGCCTTGTATGCCAGAGCCCTTATACAAACACTGCCTTGATAAAAAAGAATACAATGTAGCCGCTTGCAAGAGAAGTCCCAACGCAATCACAGCGAGCATTTCCCCTCTGTGGATATCTTTGTCCGGACATTGTCAGCGCTCCATGGTGATCTTCCTGTTTCATAGATCTTGTTTGATGAAGCAAATGAGACTGCCAAGTGCGTGCTAGTATTTAATTAAAAAGAGAAATTGCTTCTCCTGACGTATTGTAGTCTCGGTGGAAATTTAATGTAAATTATATATTACATTAGTTATGGAATAGTAATTCCCTACGACTTTTTTCTTTCACTGAAACGTCAATGAAAATTAAGCCTACAATTCACAAACTCATACACTTCGTTGATGAACAACCTAAATTTTATTCGCAAAAAATTTCAATTTTAATGGCTCAGCACTCCATTTTTTCCTCGAGAATCCATCAAATTTTTCACATAACTAAAAGGCAGACATTTTTGTGAAAGTCCCGATACCAATTCGAGTCCTCCAGGAATCCATGCCAGCAACCATACGAATCCTATTCAATTACTTACATACCGTCGGCGTAGGTTTTACCCAAATACACATAGAGTCTATATACTGAAATAAATAAATATTAGTCAACTCGTAGTCAATTGTAACGTTGTCCTTAATAAGCAACTTTATATCTTTGGCAATGCGAAAGCGTTTCAGATGATTGCGTTAAAAGAATTTTTGTATAGAATCAGTAAAAAAATATTTGAGAGCTACACTCAGGCTCGCCGTCTCTCAGGAAAGTAGTTGGAAGTCGTACGACCAAACTTGGGCAATTTTCTAAGCATTTATTTTAACGGGCTCGCAGCCAACACCGGCATTATGCGAAATTAAGAGTAAAAAGTAACGGCCTAAGAAGTCTAACTTGAGCCTATCGTCACGGCCTGCTGGAATAGACAATACGAGTTACTTTTATCTTAGTCAATGGCTGTAACTGAACGAGACGTGCTCACTCAACTTAAATTCATTGCCTTCTTACTTTGATTTTCTATCTTCTGTAGCCTTCAAAAGGGAACTGTAAAAGTTTGGCTTAAAAACAAATGATCGTTCCAGATTTTAAATGAGGTATATATCAACTTTACAATAAAACATCCATATTTTAAGGCTATGTGCTTTTATTATAAGAGTCGGCTAATATTAAGCCTGGAAACTTTTAACCTGGAGATTATTTTATGAATTAGAAAGAGTGGCTTCAAGGGAGAATCTTTTATCAGCTTGATTGTCTTCCAGCCTTTCAAGATTAATGAGGATGGAACGCCTGTAAAAATCGTAGAGAAATAAAAATATCGCTAAAAATCATGTCAAAGGTGAAGTCTAATTTGGCGTCAAGTTTTTCTGACCTGACGACTCATTCGCGCCAAAATAAAAAAAAATGAATCTATGTTTAAATTCCATGTTCAACACGGAGCTCCAACGAAGCATTATTTTATGTTTTTCACTGGGGTGTAATTTAATGAACGAATAATAATTACGGCTTCTTAACCTGAAGTACGACAATGAAATTATAAAATTAACCGATAAATCCTATGTATTTATTTTTCGTTTTATATCTGAGCCACGAATTACGAGCGACAAATTTTTACATGAAATTATTAAAAGCCTAATGCTAATAAAATTTTCTTAATTAACTCGCAGTCAGGTTTCTCCAATGTTTATTGCTATTTCTTTCAGGCGAGGTAAAAGATCGCTAAATTTGCTTAAATTTGCCTTTACCCTTAATTTCTTTAATATATATTGATCACTGCAGACTCTTGTGGTTTTATAAAAAATCCTCAAGTTTGAGAAAACTCACCTCATTTTGCATTGGAATGTCATGGCGGCTGCGGCGGAGCGCGGTTCTCTTCTTTCCCCACTTGGAAAACCGCTGCACACAAGACGGGGGCACTCAATAACAGCAGAGATTGGCACTTGAGCTCCACTGAATTAACGATTCACTTGTAGTTTTTCTGATAGAATATTTGAGGACTGAATTCAGAACTTGAACATTTGCTAAACAACGATTTGGAACTTATTCAAATGGAAGAGAATTCTTTAGCTGCCGCTGAATATTTAGACGTAGAGTTTTTAATGATAATGGGACATTTTTCAGAGTATTAAAACTAAGCACTTCACAGGTCACGTTCAAACAATAATAATAGTTTCTTATATTTCGTATTGTATAATTCAGTTTGCGTGCGTTTTTCGATTGGCCAATTTTACTTCCATTTTCCGATGTCAATTCAATGTTAATGCACTTCTTTTTATAATAGGGTGGATTCTACATAGAAATGTAGGACTCTCAACAAAACGTTTCGCTTTCATTTGCTTTAGCGCTCTGTGGGAAAAAGGTGTAAGGAATATTAATATGTATTAATAAAGATTTAAGAAGGAAATAAAATACCACAAAAATTCCCCATGCATATTCTTAAATAAAGTGACACAGAGCCCAGCTCCATCATCAGTTCAGAAACGATAAAAACAGGACAACCTCGTATTCTTGTATACAAACTTGTATTGGTTTTGCGGCATTTTGCCTTTACTTTAAATTCTTAATTTATTTGTGATCCAAGCAATCGAATGACAATAAAATTTGTATTTACAGGTTTTGCAGTCAATGCCAAATCCTGCCTCGAACCATAAGTCACTATCACAGAGCCTGTTCTTGTAAGCGCAAGACCAGTTCGGTAATGCAAAAAGCGAGATGTTAAACACGATTTAATCGTTGATCGTCCTTGATAGCAGAGTTACCTTGATCGTCCGATGGATGAATCTGGCGCCAACTCTAACGTGGCGCCAGGGCGCACAAAGGCAGGCAAGTGCTAGGCTATGTGATCAATCTGGCTGAAC